TGACCTCCTGATGGGATGCTCAAACTTCTGGGCTCCACCGGTTAAGAAGGATTCTCTTGCAATTACACTGCGCACTTCACGCAGGGCAGCGTTTTGGAGCGCTTAACAGTGATGGAGCCAGATGCAGAGTAAGTGAGGGAGGCGACCGTAAACACGGTCGAAGAGGAAGGTTTCAGGTGCAACCTGAAAATAGGGGAGGGGGCAAGGCACAGGGGTTGAGGGAGAGAGTTCCAGAGATTGGGGGCTGACGGTGGAGCGGAGGGGACAAGGGACAAGCAGGAGGCTGCAGCCAGCCGAGCGGAGGCAGAGTGCGTTGGAGCAGGGGGAATAAGTTTGGGTTTGAAGATGATAAACGCGAGTACAAGGATTATATGTTTCAGTGTTTCCTTTTTTAAAAAAAAGCAGTCAAGGGGCATAAGTAAGATCAGTTTGCGAGGCGGTTGGAGATTGCATTGCAGTCGCTGTGACCTAGATGCTAACGTGAAGTCACGTGCTCGTGTGATGTGCCTGGTGGTGGGGGGCAGTCACTGGAGAATTGCTGCTTCTCTTTTCCCCTGATACAGCTCCTCTCACGTCGCGAGGACGTCTCGAAGCGCTTCATGCCACAAAGTGCGGTGACTGTGTGTTTTGTGAGCGAAAGCGGCGGTCAATTTGCACTCAGTGACGTGCCGCAAACAGCCCTGGAGTGAGTGACATTTGGGGAGATTGTTGGCCAGGACCCCGGGAGAGAGAAACTCCCTTCCTTTTTCCGAGGAGCGCCATGGGATCTTTTAACATCCACCTGAATATTACATCAATGTCAGATTGTGAACTCCAGGCGCAATCTGGTTTGGACCCAACACCATCTGAGCCAGCTGCGAGAGCGCTGCTGATCGCTAATGAGAACTTGCCAAGGCTCTCGTTCTTCCGCCTCCCTCCCCCCATAACCCTCCTGTCCCCCACGTGGTTGTGTGACCCTACGTGTGACCTCCCTGACCCTTTGCCCCCAAATCGTCTCTGGTTCTTAATGATTTTTGCCTGCTGGAGCCAGGAACCCTTCTCAGCTGTTAAATCACTTTAATGCTCTCCCCTTCCCCCCTCACCTCTTCCTCCTCCTCCTTCTCCTCCTCCTCCTCTCCCGCTGCATTAACCCTTCAACCCCCACGGAGGCTTCCATCACTGTGAGGCCATTGGTTCTCCTCAGCTTTTGCCCAAGTTCTGTGGGTAGTGTAGGCGTGCCAGCTGGTGGTGGGGTATGAGTGCTGTGGTCGGTGAGTCGGTAACTTGAGGAGAGAAGTTTGACACAGAAACTTTTTCAAGTCCAGCAAAAGAGAGCTGAAACTTCACGAGTGTTGCCCCCTCCCCCCACAATGACCCCCACTCTTATCAGGGCAAATTCTTGATCATGTTAAGTCAAACCTGCTTTCTCCCCCCCTTAAAACCCCCTCTGCCTCCGTACAACTGATCTGAACTTCACACAGAGTAATTAAGGGAATCAGTCAGTGTACAGGCGGATTAGGGAGTCTTAAGCACTGGTCGGTGTCCACTGATCGGTGGGAAACATCCCACTGCTGCTGCCAGCTTCAAATACCATTAAAGTTTAGCCGCTGGGAATCTGAGCTGGTTAATTACACTGTGGCAGGAGGGTCCCACTTGCATTCAGCAACTCAATGAGCAACCAGAGGCCTGAAAACCCTTCTCCAGGACTGGATTAAGTAGGCCAAGGCTTGAAGGTCCCAACAACTCTCTTGTTTTGATCCTCTCTCCTTCCTTTTTCCTCCCCTCTCCTCCTCTCTTTCTTTCTCTCTTTTTTTCCTCCCTCCTCTCCTCTCTCCTCCCTGCCCCACCCACCAGATCAGTGTTAATTTACTCACTGGCCAACCTTTATATTTGTGTAATGTGTCAGCCTGGCTCAATAACAACAAATTACATTTGTATATGGCCTTTCACATCAGGAGCACGTCCTCTGGTTCAGTTGGTAGCGCTCCAGCCTCTGAGTCAGAAGGTAGTGGGGTCATGCAGGGAGCTTATCTGGTCTAAGATGACACTCCCAATGCAGTGTTGGGGAGGATGGCATTTTTGGAGCTGCCATCCTTGAATGAGATGTTAAACCGAAATCTCGTCTACGAAGAACTATTCATGGGGGAATGCTCGGGAGATTTCCCAATTTCTCATATAGCCAGTCAGTCCACCTCTGTCTCCTAACCTTTCCCTTTGCTCTGAAATCTTCTAAGTACTAAGTAAATTGGGCATGTTTCCGCTGGAAAATAGAAGGTTGAGAGACGACATGATTTCTATCTTTAAGATTCTAAAGGGGCTAAGCAATATAGGTCATGACAGGCTGTTTCAACTTGTCCAGAATAGTAAAACTAGAGGACACGGCCTGGGATTGAAGGGGGATGAATTCATATTGAATCTACGCAAACACTAGTTCAGTGAGCGAATAGTAAACCTGTGGAACAGGCTCCCGAGGTTGATGGTTGAAGCAGGAAGTGTTGATTCTTTCAAACACAGATTAGTTTTTTTTAGGAAATAACATTATGGGATATAGTATATAGGTAATTTGGGACATATGTGCATGCGACTGCCAGGAAGGTGGAAGGCGAACTAGATGGACCTTGATCTTTTTTTTGTCCAGCATTTCTTATGGCTCCAGAGATTGTAACTGTAATGACGTGAAAGGCGCTATATAAATGTAGTTTGTTGTTATTGTAGTGATGATCTGTGTTTGTGTGTGTGAGAGAGATGTGTGTGTGAGGTAGATCTATGTGTGTGTGGGTGTGAGACCTGTGTTTGTTACAACATCATAAAGTCTCAGAGTGCTTCACACCTTATCTCTGTCCAACCATAGTGACTGTGGATAAATGTGGCAGCCGATTTGTACACAACGAGGTCCCACCAACAGCTACGGGGTGAATGATCTGGGGGATTGTTGGCCAGGATACCGAATAACTCCCAGCCCCATTGCAATCGTGCTGTGGGATCCTTTAACGTCCGCCACGACAAGCACTGATGGGACCTCAGTGTAACATTTTGTCTGGAGGACAAGCACTTTTAACAATGCAGCACTGCCTCCCCCCAGCAATGGACTGCAGTGTCAGCCCAGACAGTGAGTGCCGTAGGGCTTCTGAGACAGGATGTTTAACGTCCACTCAAACGTCTCAGTGGAGTGTCTGAAACAGTATTGTATGTGAAGGGCGCTGTGTAAATGCAATCCCTGCGCCTCCACACGGACTGTAGAGGGGAACTGCGCTACTTTCGTTCACTGAGGGAAGGGAATCCTCCCACTGTTAACCCTGCCAGCCAAAGCCCCAAAGGGTAGGGTGGTCCGAGCTGGACAAGCAGCGGGAAAGCATGCCAGACAGTGATATCAATGGCAAGCTATGTGGCTTTAGCTGGTTAGACTCCAGCAGTTTCCCCAATGCACATTCTGGGGTCCCCAGACCTTGGCTCTTGCCAACCTGGCATTCCTTTCTAGAACTAGGTAAGTAGGATATGTCCCTCCAGGGAGAGAGTGAGCATTCCAACAATCAAATTCTCAGTTTGGTTTGGATACCCTTAAGCACGATGATGGGTTTCCGCATGCGTCGGACACACGGCTAACCAAAATAAAGCTCCTTGTTTCAGTCACTAACTGGTTAACTCTTCAAAACTGCCAACCCACAATCTCTGCTCTTGCTGCCCCGGAGCTGACTAGCCGCAGAGACGAGTGACTAAACTGGCTGACAGATCTGGTTTAATTGGAGACACGGCCGTGTTTAGTAACATAGGCATTACTGAAAAGCTCTCTGTGTGAGCCAAAGATACAATAAGCCTCATCTCTGCGTGCAGGACACCTTCACCTTGGTTCTTGCCTCCCTAATGCTCCCCAGATTTAGGTAAGCAGGGAGACAGAGTACGCATTCTGTTCTAGATACAGGAGAAATTTCCATATGAAGGTGACGTATATGTGTGGAGCTCTCAGTCTGGTTTCGATACTCTTTCAAACACAGTGATGGATTTCCTCATAATAATAATGTGGGACACTGCTGTACGCAATCAGCTGCCGCGTTTCGCCCTGAAAATACAGTCACTCCACTTTACAGTGTATCCTGTAAAGCGCTTTGAGACGTCTCAATGACGTGATAAGGAGCTACATCAAATGCAAGGGTTATTATTATTATTGTTATGTAGCTCCAGGTGTCTGGGTACTCACTGCCCAGTTTGCTGACATCCCTGGAATTGACGTCCGTCACCATCCAGGAGGGAGATTCTCTGACCACCTCCTGACTTGGTGTTCGGGAATCTCAGTGTTTTGGCTCCAACTCCATCCCTCCTCCCATTCCCCACCATCGCCCCCTGAGGGTCAGTCAGGGTCTCACTGACCTCCCGGCCCATCTCCTGACCAGCAGCAGCCAATGCATTGTGATCTCCTTGGAGGATGACACGCAGAGCAGAGCTGGTGGTGAGGGAGGTCTGACATCAGGGCTCAGTCCAAACTCCCTGGCGTTGATTACAGTGCGGCTGCTGCTCACCTCAGCTCCTTGTCGGCGCCTTTGGTCCACCAGCAAGAGCGAGAAAGAGAAAGAAAAACACAGAAAAAAAGGGCGAGAGAGAGAGAGAGAGACCTTGATCCGCTCAGTGGGTGCAGTCTAACCCAGGTGGCACACATAAATAGACACCATTCTAACTCGCTGCTCTACATAGTTCCTGTGAAGAGTTTTTTTTGGGTTGGATTAAGGTGAAAAACGTACGTGCGCCTTTTGCATTCTGCCTTGCGGTATCTGACGGAACTAAATTCGCTCCCTCCCTTGCCTCCTTCAAGGCCCGTCTCAAGACCCTCCTCTTCGACCACGCCTTCAGTCACCCTCCTACCCCCACCCTTCCCTGCCCTCCACCCCTCCTGATTCCAACCCCCAGCTTGGGTCCAAATCTCTTGACTGTCCAACACTTTGGGATCGTCCTCCCGACGTGGAAGGCGCTGTGTAAATGTAAGTTGTTGTTGTTGTTGACGTTGTTGTGCTTGTTCTCCTGGTTGCCAGGCACCCCGGGCGCTGTGGACATTGTGACAGCTTGTCGTCATGGCGATGGTTCAGGCGATGCCCATAGCCTCTGAGCGACAGAATTCAGACAGCGAGAACCAGCTGCGGCCGACGCGAGTGACCTCGCCCAGCGCCATGGGGAGTGTGGGCAGCCTGGTGTCTGGACGTACCTACCTCGACAAGCACTGCCGGGCGACCGAGTACACCAGCAGGGGTCGGAAGCCCAACCAGGCGCAGAAGATCTTCAGGCAGCCGGACGGACTCCTAAAAAATGGCTACTCTCAGGACCCCGGCAGGAAGCTGTGCTCGGGAGCCACTAGGAACGGGGGCTTTGCCTGCGTGTGTGAGGAGCACCGGAACGGGGGTTGGCACGTCGCCGCCTTCTCCCCGGCCAGCCCGGAAAGCGACCACGAGGATGTGCGGGACGGGAGAGCCGTCAACGGGAGCATCCAGGGGCCCCCTCCCAAAATCATCCCGGTCTCGGGGAAACTGGAGAAGGTGGGTGTGCGCGCAGGGCTCGCTTGGGTGCTCGGGGCAGTGATGGCCCGCGTGGCTGGGCGTGGCACGGTCAACCAGCCGTGAATGGAGCCGGTTAATGGAGCCGTCGGGTCGGTCCTTGGGAGCGAAGCTTCTTTCCAACCTCCCCAGCCAAGGAATGTTGGGTGAAACATTCCTTTTTGGTGTCCCGTGGCGTAATGGCCTAACCTCTGGCCCCTGTCTATCTATCTATCTTCAAATCGCGCCATAACACCTAGTTCTTTGACATATAATCACCTCCCCCTTCCCGCCTCTTCTCCCCCGCCCCCACCCCAGGTTTGCTGACATTGCAGCCTGACGTTGTGTCCTTGCGGAATAGCCGACACAGGCGTCTGGTGACGTGGTGCATTTACGCATGTAGCAGATGTGATGATCGTGGCTGGTGATAATTATTTGCACGCCACAAGTGTTTTTTGGCGGGTGGGTGGGGGGGGGTTGGGGGGGGTTGGAGGGAAACTTTATTTTAAAGGAAAAAAAAGTGCAGGAATTCAGGCGGTCAACAGCAACAACAACAACCAAATTAAGTAGGAGTGTGGAAATGTGCACAAACAGAGGCAGCCTCTTTCAACACGCACAGTGTGGTTTTAATGCCGGGTGATTGAGTCCTCACACCATGTGCCTGACAATGGGGCTGGTGTGGAGTGGGTTTCTCATTCAGCTGCTTCTCAAATCCCCCCTTTGTGATGGGCGTTCGGTGTCAGACGCACGTGCTCTTTCACCAGCCCCTGGATCAAAGGCTTCAAAGCCTCCAGGGGATTCACTGAGAGGTCTACTGGTCCCAACTCTTTCCCGAACTGAACCACTCCGCGCTGTGCCTGCTCTCTCTCAACCGAAATAAAACCTTTCTCTTTGACCCCACCACTGATCAACGTTCACAATGCACAACCCCCACTCCCCCCACCACCACCCCCCGCATGGTTCTCTAGCTGACTGACACTCCAGCGCAGTTTTTAGCAGCATTGTTGTGGCCTCAGCCACCCTTCCCGTCACCCTGTTTTCGCTGCTAATTTCCCTCTGAGTAAAGAAATACTTCCTGGTGTTTATCCTGAAATTGCTCTTTACAACTCTAACCCTGTGTCCTCTTGATCTGCCTCAGTGCATTACTTTTTCAATCCATTTTAAAATGTTATACAACTCTATAAACTCTTGAGACTTCATGCAAAGAGCTTGTCTAGGTGGGCAGACTAGACAGCTAGACAGCTCGTTGAAGGTGGGGAGTGAGGGGTGGGGGGTAGAGTTTTGAAGTGGTGTTTCTGTCTGTCTGTCTGTGTCTGTGTGTGTGTCTGTGTGTATATCTGTGTGTTTATGGATCTTTATATCTCCTTGTGTGCGTGTCTATGTCTCAGTGTCTGTCTGTCTCTGTGTGTCTGTATTTCTCTGTGTGTGTCTGTGTCGGAAGTCTCTGAGTGCCTGTGCCTGTGTGTCAATGTGTCTAAGCCTCTGTGTGTTTGTGCCAGTGTGTGTCCGCGTGTTTGTGAGTCTGTGTATTTTAACCATCAATATTTTTATTTGCTGCCAGAACATGGAGAAGCAGCTGATCAGGCCCACGGCATTCAGAGCGGTGTTGCCCAAAGCCCGAGCCCCCCAGCAGCACTCAGCCCCCCGACCCAGCAGCGACATGTCCGACAGCCAGGGGAGCCTCAACCTGCTGTTTGGGGGGGGTTCGGTGGAGAAGCGCAGCTCACTGCAGGGTCCCGGGTGTCGGAGCAGCGTGCACTCTGGCGGGAGCATGTCAGACTCGGGCAGGAACTCGCTGTCCAGCCTGCCCACCTACAGCACTGGCTGTAGTCACCATCACCACCAGGGGGAGCCGGTCAGCAACTCAATGGGTCACATCAGCCTGGAGGGGTGTAGCGGGGGGCCGCACGGCTTCCAGGAGCGAGGGGCTACCGGATTGTCAGCCTCGGACAGCGGGCGTTCCTCGTCCAGCAAGAGCACGGCCTCGCTAAGCGGACGGGGGCACCCGCTGTCGGACACAGGGTCTCGGGAGCGCTCCCCTCCTCCCCCGCCCTTGCCCCCGCCCTTGCCCCCCGCTGGCGGGCAGGGCCACGAGGGGCTGGCCAGGGATCTGGAGGAGAGGCTGAGGGAACGGGAGTCCGAGCTACAACAGCTCAGGGAGAGCCTGGAGGAGAACGAGGCGGCCCTGTGCCAGATCTACGAGGAGAAACAGAGACACAGTGAGCAGGAGCTGGAGGAGCTCAGGCAGGTCTGTGCCAGCAAGATCAAGCAGAGCTCACAGAAGGCCCAGCGCACACACCAGGTCCTCCAACTCCAAGTCTTCCAGCTCCAACAAGAGAAGAAGAAACTCCAGGAGGACTTTGCCCAGCTGCTGCAGGAGCGCGAGATCCTGGAGAAGAAGTGCTCGTCCATCGAGAGAGAGCAAACCGAGCTTGGGCCCCGGCTGGAGGAGACCAAGTGGGAGGTGGGTGGCCTTAAAAACAGCCGTCGTCAGCCCCGGCACGACAGTCACAAAACCTTTCCTCGACTCATCTCCTTTCTCCAACTACCGACCCATCTCCAACCTTCCTTTTCTCTCCAAGTCCTGGAATGAGTCCCACTTTGTATCCACCAAAAACTTCCCCTCCTCTCCATGTACCGTCACATGCGACGTTCCTCAGGGCTCTGTCCTTGGTCCCCTCCTCTTTAACATTGCTTCCCAGTTTTGCTTTTTCCTCTCTTCACACTCCCTCTAAGAGTCCCTCCAATCATCTGGTTTGTGCACAGAGCTGTGTCCCACAAACAATCACGGATTGAGTGAACCAATTTTTTTTGAGGGATTGTTAGCCCCGGAAAGTGATTGACTGACAACCGTGTTCCCACTTACTGCTGGAAACAGAGGTGTGTGAAGTAAGGAAACTTGCCTAAGGTCTTGCTCTGCATGGGAATTGAACCCAGGTCCTCACACTTGCGAGGCGAGCCCTCTAACCACTACCACTAGGGGACTCCACACTTTATAGTGAATCCTGTGAAGGAGTAGAGTAGGGGAGAGGAATAACAGCGTTGCATTAAATCCACTAGTCAAAAAGGGGACTTGGACTCATTGCAATGCTCTCCCCCAATTCCTCCACCTTGCCCTCTTATAAGACCTTTCTCTTTGACCATGCTTACGGTCATCTACTCTTTCTCCTGGCTCGGCATCAGGCTCTGTTACTGTTAAGCGCTCCGAGTAGGGAATTGGATAGTTATTTAAAAAGGAAAAATGTGCAGGGCTATGGGGTAAGAGTCGGGGAGTGAGACTAGTTGGTTAGCTATTTCAAAGAGCTGGCACAGGCACGATGGGCCGAATGACATCCTTCTATGCTGTAAGATTGTATGATTCTCTTAGACGCTGCCCCTCTTGAAGGGCACTATAAAAATGCAAGTTGTTGTTGCTGGAAATTAACAGCAGGGAGATATTGTCTGCTCCTCACTGAGGCTCTCGTTGTGTTTGCTCTCTCTCTCTCTATCTCTGTAGGTTTGTCAAAAGTCCGGAGAGATTTCTTTGCTGAAGCAGCAGCTGAAAGACTCTCAGGCTGAGACGGGGGCCAAAGGCAATGAGATCGTCTGTCTGAAATCCCAGCTCCGCGAGCTTCAGGCCGAACTCCAGGACCACGAGGACCAGATCCAGGAGTTCCAGGACGCGGTGAGGATGAAGACGCTGGAGCTGGAGGTGTGCGAGAACGAGCTGCAGCGCAAGAAGAATGAAGCTGAGCTCCTGAGGGAGAAGGTGAGGAGGATGGAACTGGAGGCCGTGGGGTTGAGGGAGGCGCTGGGCGGCACAAGGGCCGGACTGGGCTCATACCAGCAGGAGGAAGAGGAAGACGAGGAGGACTTCCTGGTGTACGAGAGCGACGAGGCCAAAGCCCAACGCAAGAATGTGGACAACGTGCAGGCCCTGAGGCAGCAGCTGGAGAGGCTGAAGGCGGAGCTGATTTACGAGCGGAGGAAGAGCGAGGACCAGATGGACGGCTTTGAGGTGGAACGTCAGACCTGGCAGGAGGAGAAGGAGAAAGTGATCAGGTACCAGAAACAGCTACAGCACAACTACATCCAAATGTACAGGCGGAACCGGGAGCTGGAAAGGGAGATGAGGCAGCTGACCCTGGAGCTGGAAGCCAGGGACTTGGACGATTTTGAGGTGCAAAACGAAGAGATTCGGTTCGAGGAGATCACGGCGACAGAGATCTAGAGAGAGAGAGAGAAAAAAAAGAGACTTTTTAAACAAAAAGTAAAAGCGCCCTTGCCAAATGATTACAGTGCTCTATTATTACAGTGCCAACTTAACAGAAGTAAATGGAGAGAGAGAGAGAAAAAAAAGCTTTAACGCATCCGAATTTCTGCAATATACGGAGCCGCAATAACTGTGTGGAGTTAACTGGGCCTAAATGTTGCCCTAATTGCAAATCCAGGGGTCTGTCTATCTGCTGTTTAGATGATACTTTGAAGTCTTCCTTTCTTCGCTTTGAGATCTCTCTGGTGTTTTGCAGTGTGTATTGGTGTTGGAGTGGGGAGGGTTGGGGTGGGAGGGGTTGAAGGCAAATAAAGAGGTCACCGATGCAACGGCAGGGTATGGTGGCATCTGAGACCGGGTCTCGGTTGCTTAATGAATGTTCTCCGCTTGACCCGCTGAGCCTCCCTATTCCAAAACCGCCACTTGTAACTTTACAGGGTGTCCTCCAAAGTCCCATGTGTTTTTTTTTGGCCAGTGCACTCACTGACTCAACAACTGAAACATGTGGAAGAATGATGATAATTGTTTTTAGAAGTGCAGTAAAACTCGCACCAGTCCAATTGGTATAAATCGAATAATGGCCTAAGTCGTCCATCTGCCTGAGCCTCGTTGGATTTCCTATTATTTATAAGTCTCACATAATTCGTACTTTGCATAAGTCAGATTCAATATAGGGTCTTGATTGATAAGACTTATGTGAGCTTTACCGTAATTAATTGTATTCATTAGAAGTGTTTAACTGTATTTAGACGTCCAGAGGATGGGTGTGGGTGTGAGTGAGCGCCATTATTTAATGGCAGATAATGAACCGCATTCGGTTCAGCGTCTTCCGGAACACGGAGTAAGTGAGGAGAAGTTACTGGTGTCTGACATTGTTACACTCGACTCAGCTGCAACAGAAAATCATTGTATGAAAAGAAAACGGGGGGTGGGTAGGGCTGGGGGGTGGGGGCATGACTTTGTGAACACCCTGTAGAAGTAAAGGCAGTCTGGCAAAGTCCCTGAATCCATAGCAAGTTCCTCCCTGGTGGTGGGGGTCAGGTCAGCTGCTCTTCACAAAGGATCAGGGGCCAAAGCAGTGATAGAAAGGGTACCCCAGAGTGCCAGGTCCTGACAGGGCCGTAGAAATTAAAATAAAACCTCCCAGCCTGGGAAGCGGTGCCCAGTCGACAGCAGAAGGGATGGCATAGAGGGACACGACCTTCTTGGTGATGTAATGCACCCAAGCCAGATTGTCTTTGAACCACCGGTTTGAAAATGATAGCAGGATTTTGTTTTATTTCGTCGCTTGGGGTTAAATGCACACCCAGGGTAAATCAAGAGAATCATAGAATCTTACAGCACAGAAGGAGGTCATTCGGCCCATCGTGCCTGTGATGGCTCTTTGAATGAGCTATCCAACTCGTCCCCACTCCCCTGCTCTTACCCCATAGCCCTGCACATTTTTCCTTTTCAAGTACATCTTTATCTCGAAAAGAGTGAACCAAATGGACCGGAAAAAACAGCTAAGTGTCTTGACAAGGGGCAGAGGGGGAAGAGGGAGGTCTTTTGGGTCAGCGGGAAGGATGGGAGACAGGCCATTCGATGATGGATGAATGAAAACCCAAGCAATGTTTTTATATTCTGATATTTTAAGGATTGAAATGAATATGTTGCCTCTTTTCCCTACCTCAGCCATTTGCTTTTTGCTAATGTGAATGAAACATCCCATGCTTACAAATGTCAATGTCAATTTTGAACACAAATCCTCCCCCCTATCCTCCCCATCCCCTCCAAACAGTTTCAGTCACACATCAGTCTCAACCCCCGCAACCAATTCTTTTAAAATTGAGGGTCGTATCATTTTTGGACCATTTTTAAATTTAGTCCTGAGAAAAACGGCTCCCAATTTCAGACTGAATGTGACAATTTACCACAATTCTGACCAGACTCTGCAGCTGTTGCTCTCTCCCACAAAAGGCCCATCACGCTCTCTTTCCCCCCCCCCCACCCCACCCAACCCTCCCCCATTCCCGCCCTTGCTTAACCCCCGTTCCCCCAGCGGATTGAATTCAAAATCCTTTCAGGGTGTTATCCAACCTGCAACCTCCTGCCCAGGCTGCTCCCTCCACTCAGCTTACACCACCCTGCTTCATGTTCCCCCTCCCCCTCTTTCAGCAGATATTCTGACCACAATCTTTGCAACTCCTATCTTTTCGACCTATCTCTTTCTGCCACCTTTCCTCTGCCCCCTCCCCCCCCCCCCACCCACCACCACCCACCCAAGCTCGGGCTTCCAGTCAACTGTGTCAGCGTTTTGGGACGTGCTCCCATTGTGAAAGGCGCCGTATAAGTAAATGGTTGATCTTAGATTTTAAGACAAATTGCTCTTGCAGGCTAAGGCTAGTTGAAATGTTTCAGTAAGGTTGGAATTCAAATAAAATTTTGCCCACAAAATACAGTCACTGCACTTTACAGTACATTCTGTGAAGTGCTTTGAGATATTTGAACGACGTGATAAGGCGCCAAATCAAATGCAAGGATTATTATTATCATTATTATATCCAATTCATGTACGGGCGTGTGTGTAAAAGTGTGCTGTGTCTGACGGGGGAGGATTGAGGTGAGAGGGATAGGATTGGGAGAGATGTAAAAATATATTTTTGTAAGGTGAGACTCTTTGTAGCATTTCCCCCCCCCCCCCACCATTTAATCTTCCAGTGTCAATATAGTCTTCGATAATCTCCCCCATAATAAACCACTGTGAATTGCACCTGGGTAGATGCACGGGTCTATGTTACTTTGCTCTCTGGGGGGACTCAACGTGTGTTCAATATCTCTCCATAAAACCTGGGTCAGGTCACCAGTTCAATGCACCAAATGCAACAGCGATGTGGATTCTGAGTTAAATGCAAGTTGTTGTTGTTCTCTAGCTGCTACGAGGTCTGAATTTCTGCCCGTTTTTTTTAAAAAAAGACTCTTCCTCAATATCTGCCTGACGTTGAATTTCAGGTGTAGGCTAGTCTTGTAGATCTAAGTCTAGATGGGGATTTTCCCAGTCTGTGCTTTAAGGTTCTGGAGATTGCTGTGAATACTGTAACAAGGGACTTTGCTTAGTCTTGGGTGCACTGTCCAGTTTGCAGACATCCAGTCCGCCACAATACGAAACAAGAGATACTTATTTTTTTCTCTCACTCACTCACTAACTCACTCACTCCCTCACTGGTATGTATGTGTGTGTACATATATATATATATATATAGTATATATGAATAAGGCCATCACAATTCAGCTTGTCAAGCGCCAGGTTGTATAATTGATTATTGGGTGTACTGTATACTGGCAATTGGCTGAAGAAATAACACCTGTACATTATATCAATGCACTGTGAGGAGGCTGTAAATACTGTAATGAATGGAAATAGACATTACACTGTAAAATCAGTAGCGCAGTTGACGTGTCTCTGTAGATGTGTGTATTTATGTGTAGCTGCTGTGACTAGATCAAAGTGGGGGTGGGGGGATCTCCTGAGTTTTTTTGGTGGGAGGGGGGAGTGGAAGGGAAGTTTCTAATTAGACACGCTTTCGTACCTGTTTTATCTTCGATATTCACTGTGTTACCTATAGAATTCATCTCCAGATATTGCTTATTTTTTTTCTTCCTTTTGTACATTTCGTGTATAAAACTGACTACAGGTTCTTGTGTTTCTAATAAAAAAAAACATGATTGAAATGAAGCGGGTTTAAGTAGGCATATGTTTATTTTACTTGCCTGTGATTACGATAACTGTGTGTGTCGTTCGGGGCTTTCTGCTTATCTCATTCATCAAGCCAAGCTGGATCAGGATGGCAAGCGATGTCCACGATCACAAAAGCAGAGGTTTGTATAAAGAAGATGGTTCTGCCCTTTGATCTCAATATTCCAGAACATCCAACCTAACCCTCCTTCTAGAACCGCCCCCCCTCCCCTCCTCCCATTACAGCATTGATCCATTTCTTAAATGAGTCCAGGGCTGTGGTCTTAACCATCTTTCTTGTCGATTTCTCTCCTGGTAAAATTCCAATCAGTCTCTTTGTAGTCCCAAACCTTTGACCTCTTGTCCTGATAATCTGGTATATCTGAAAGTATTATTGTGGATTTACTTTCTCTATTCTCTGCCTCCTTCAAGGCCCATCTCTTCAACCGCATCTTCGGGCAACCTCCTATCCCTACACTCCCTGTCCTCCACCCCTCCTGATCCCAACCCCCCAGCTTGGGTCCAAATCTCTGACTGTTCAGCACCTTGGGTCATTCTCCTGATGTGAAAGGCGCTGTATAAATGTAATTTGTTGTTGTATTCCTCTCAGTATTGTATAAAGCTCACTAGCCAAGAACGGTGCCAATGGCTATCTCAGGTTCATCACTCCCCCAGCTCAAATTGCGAGGCTTGAACTCACAACCTTCTGACTCGGAGGCAAGAGGGCCCCCAACTGAGCCAGGCTGTCGAAATAAGATAGGGGTTGGGGGTGGGGGGGGGGGGGGGGGTGGAGATAACAAAAGGAATGGGTAAAAATAAATAAAATAGTCCAGGGTGGGAGGAAATGAAAGTTGGAAGCATCAATTTTGAACTCATCTAAAACCCAATTGTTGGCAATGTGCTGAATGAATTAAGTTGAATGCGGTTGTTAGTTATCGTTAGACGATTGGCAAATCACTTTTCCAGGGGTAATAATCCCTTAAAAAAATAATAATCATTTGGTCACTCAATCTACGACTCTATGTGGTACACTGCTTTGCGCAATTAGCTGTGTGCAAATATTCTGTGAGGCGCTTTGAGATGTCTCGAAATCTTGATGAGACGCTATATCAAATGCAAAGATTATTAATTAACAGTATTCATTTGGGGCTGTGTGAATTTTATGTTTTCTTCGCTCCATCGCTTGAAATGAATCGTGCCACGAATGCCCACCATGTGTAGGATTTTGGGAGTAATCGCAAGTGAAGTTCAATCTTTTAATTAGATTGAAAAAACAGTCAAACCCTCGGCATTCACTTAAACAATTTATGTAACAGTGGTAACTGCAGTTGTATCAGAGATTCTGTAACCCTTCTGTGTGAAAGAGACAAAAATCTGACAATGTGGTATTAAGAGAAATGGTATCAGTAGCAAATTCATCCACCTCTCTCTGCTGTGATAAGGTTTCCAAGTCCAGGCCAACTTTTCAGATTCTATTTGTGTTTGAGCATGTTTGTCAGTGTTCGCTAAAGCACAGAGTTCACTGTAATGCATTGGTATGCTTGGCTCCGCATTTCAGAGTGGAATGACCTTTTCTTACCCATGAAGTGGAACATAAGAGGACGTGAATGCAGAGGACAACTCTAATCAACTTAGTGGTAGGTTGCTGTTGTGTTCTATTGCTTTTTTTAATTGCGATATTCCCCTCAAAGAACTATGTGCATTAGGATTGTGGTATGATGGCTTATCCTACGATGGTGCAAATTAAACATGGGTCCCTGGAAGGTGAGGATTGATGAACCAAAAGCCCTTTGCTAATCCAATTTTCTCCAGTCATCTTCCAATTCTTCTCAGGGAGACGTTTTAGATGTGTTACGATACCTGGAAAACACTTGACAGCTAGTCAAATCTACAGGCCGTTAATGCCAACTTTTATTTCAGAGAGTGACTGCGGAGGAGAGTTACACAGAATGGTACCTTTACAAAAGGTTTTGAGAAGCAAAAGGATGTGATACATGAAGGTAAGGCACTTTCACTGAACACTGTTAAGGTATCGCGACGGCAATGTGAGAAGTAGTGTTAACAGGTGTAGACAGTTTGCTTTTGACGTGCCAAGTGGCAGAACATATGAAAATATCTGGTTATAAACAGATCCAAGTGAATTTGCTATTGTTGATGTTACACTTATCCCAACGGGGCACTAACAATAATTGCTGCTGACGTTGCTGGTGGCAAACTGCTGAGCCCATTGTCGTCATTCACAAAACGTAGGACCAGCCAGGTGTGGGCGGGCAGTAGTGGGAGGGGGGAGAGGGAGGGTGGAATCCAGGCCAATAACTGATTCACATCCGTGGAAAGCAAGACTCCTTAAAACTTTCTGGGAGTGTGATTTTTCATCCCGATGTGAAAGGTGCTCTCTAAATGCCATTTGTTGTTGAGTTCGTTGTTCATCCACGACTGTTTGTGGGACACTGCTGTGTGCAATTGGCTGCCGTGTCTCGCCCACGAAATATACAGTCAATTCACTTTACAGTATATTCTATAATGCATTTCGAGGCATCTTGAAGACGTGATAAGGGGCTATAGCAAATGAAAGTATTATTGCACTGTAAACCCCTTTGTTTTAAAAAAAAGTTATACTTTTCTGTGCACAAAGTGTTTTTGTTTTATACAACTCTTAGAAACCATTTGTAAGCTAGAGTGACTTACGTTTTTCATTCATACATTCCTGCTTCAATCTAAATGGGCAGCAACTGGAACCTCGCAAGTCACAGCCTCACCTTCCTGGAGCCACGTAAACCTCTGTACACACAAAGAAAGTGGCTGCCTGCAGGTGTTCTTTCGTGCAAAGATATCCCAAGTGCTGGCTCAATGGTCCACAGAAACCATATGCTGAACATAGTCTGCGATAACCACAATTGAATTGGCTTATGGTGCATTCTGCTGGATGTTATCGCTTAACACTGTAAAGAGGCTCAGCCTTATTCATATTCTTGTATTTTGACATGAAAAATTACTGTGGACATGTTTTCCATGAAATGATTAATGGACCATCTGTTTGAAAACAGTTTGCTTTGCGAAAGATTATTTTTGGTAAATTTGTATGCATAACAAGTAAATGAGCCGTTTACTCGAAAGGAAATAATGAGGAAAATAACAGCGTTCATCTAACTGTGTGAAATGCTTTGTAAAATGATTTCTAAAATTTGCGTAGTTTTTGCTGATGCAAATAGGGAGCGAGTGAAACAAAGTGGAGTGGGGTGTGCCGACGACAAGAGATCGGAAATTTCAAATAGATTAAAACTGGAGAAAGACACAGATCATTCATTGAAACAAATAGTCTATGACCACCGGGAGTTCAGTCATGAAGATCTGCAATGTCTTTAAGCTTTGATTTTCAGCTGCTCTTTGGTAACTTAATCACCAGCACCATTGGGTCCTTGGATTTGTTGCTATAAGATCGGCGGATTATGTCCACTGCCTGTCTGTGTGTGACGCTTTGTAGGCTTGCCCCATCAACTGACACCAACTCGTAACCAGCCTGTGTGAAGAGAGGAAACATGACTTTTACTGTTGAATCAAATAAAATCTACCCCTACCCTCCACCTCTCCTGATCCCAACCCCCAGCTCGGTGTAAATCGTTGACTTTCCAGTGCCTTGGGATGTCCTCCCGAGGAAAGGCGCTGTACAAATGTAATTTGTTGTTGTTTTCAATACTGCTTGTATGCCCAGGTATGCATCCCCGGCCCTCCCACCCGTTAAAAGTCCCATGATAATTACTGACTGCTTTTTTGAGATGTTCTCCTTCAATCTACAACAACAACTTGCATTTATATAGCACCCCTCATGTAGGTTAGTGTCCCAGAGTGCTTAAGGACACTTTCTACAGAAGGGCAAGCTGTAATTGCTTTTGACTGCATCTTTGGTCAATGTGATAATTATCAACAGTCATCCCACAACCTGTATTTTTCCATCCACAGAGGCACTTTAGATGTCAGCCTAGTTCAATTGGTTGCATACCCTCACCTCTTGAGTCAGATGGTTGTGCCTTGTTGTTGTTGTTCAAGTCCCATACCGGGACTTTTGAGGTCACAATCTAGGTTGATGCTCTAATACAATGCTGAGGGGGCATTGTACTGTCAAGAGCTATTGTCCTTTGGATTAGACGTTAAACCCAGGTCCTGCCTGCCAGTTCAAATGGTGGTTAAAGATCCCATGGTGCTATGGGAAAAGAGAAGGGAATTTCTCCTGTTGTCCTGGCCCACATTCAATCAGATGAAAAAAAATAGTTCATTCATTTCAGGGCTGTTTGTGGGATGTTGCTGTGCACAAAATTGGCTGTTGGGTTCACTTAAAAATACCTTGTGCGTTGCCCTCTCCTAGCCCATCTTCAGATCACATCTGAACACTTTCCCCTGTGATCGTACATGTGGTCACATCACTCTCTCCCCGGCTCGGCATCAAGCTCCGCCACTGTTAAGTGTTCAGAGAAGTGAAGTGCGCTCTATAAATGCAAGCTGTTGTCGTAAAAATACCTTGTCAACACACTTTTAGAGTAAATCTTAGGAACGGCCTTGAGACATTTCAATGACATGATAAGATGCTGGCTGTATCAAATGGACGGATTACTACAGTTTAGGGGATAGCAGATATCAGTGCAAACCATTGCTGAGAGCTTGGGTCCTTTAGTTCTGGAAATATGGGGTTGAAATCCCCGTAATCTGCAGTACACACTCAAGTTTTGTTGCTTTTACCTGGGGCATTCTCCAGTGTGCAATCCCTCACAATAAACACTACGGCTCAATTCATACAAGAGTTTCAGGCACTTTGCATTGAAAGAGTCACAATTTTTTTAAAGAAAAAAAGAACTGTTGGTATTTGTTAACAGGATGTCCTTGAAGGCAGATGAATTGTGCCATAGTAAATGAGATTTCTCTGCACACCACCTTGTAATCCATTAAATACGAAATGAAAAACAAAAACAGCCGCCGGGCGAACATCAATTTTTCATAATGGTGCCTGGAAGCGTTCTCGAGAGCATCATCAAAAGAAATTCAGTTTGTTGCCTGTTTCACATCTTGTTCTCAAATCAACTGAAAAGCCCTAACTTAGCCTGTGTCTATTATTGTACACTTCACAGTCTGCTTGCCTCAGAATAGCTAAGACATCATGGTAATTTCAGACAGGGAAAATAATTTTTTTGTGCAGTTTTGTCGATTCAGACTGTCGCTGATTCAGCTTTCTTTATTAGAACAAAAAAGACTGAAACTCAGTCACTATGATAGATGGACTGCACAGCACACCACAAAGAAGCTGTGGATAGAGTTGCCAATTTCCAAAATTGTTTCAGATTCATAAGCGAAAATCCGTTCCAACCAAGACTAACATTTTTTGAGGGAAGCACAGGTTATTGCTATCCAAAGGACCTTACGTGCCAATTATCCAAAGTAATATGTACCCAAATATAATTGAGCACAGCCATGGACTCGTAAACTGTCTTGGATTGAGAAACCAAATTGTTTTAATTATATATTTTTGGGAGGTTATTATTGTTAAATATATCCCATCACAAAGCTACATTTAGGCTGTGCTAGAAAATATGAGATCCTTCTGAGATGATTCATATGCTAAGTTCAGGTTAATTTATTGTGATTAAAGCCTTCAATGAAATATTGCTTGAAAGGGCAATTTAAAGAAAGATATTGCAAATAAAATGTAAATAACTTCCAACAGAAGAATCATTTTAATGAAATATTTACAGACACTTTGATTTAAATGCTTCTCAATGGAAGTTTTTAAGAAAACGGATAATGAATTTTTTTGTACAGAGGCTAAACAGGTGAAAAGGTAGCAGGAAAGGCGGGTATATTTCACCCACAAATATACAGTCAATTCACTTTACAGTCTATTCTGTGAAGCACTTTGAGACGTCTAGAAGTCTATTCTGTGAAGCACTATATCAAATTCAAGGATTATTATTATTATCAGAGGCCTATTTAAGGTAGAGCATGATACTTAAATTACAGGGAAACAGATGGGCGGGAGTTTAAAAGGGCCGAGTCTGTCTTGTGATCCTGTGTAGACACGTTTTTACTGGTGGACCATTTGCTCCTTGAGAAAGTGGTGAATAAACACTATTGAAGGTTTGGTGGACGATGAGGGACATGGTTCCACTGTGTGAAATTGCACATCATGATTCGAATTGCGATTGTCGGGAAAGCACGGCTGAATGTGCTTGTTATCAACAATGAGAAATAAACGACAGCGCTACAGAGGAGCTGATTGCTCTCCCCAGAACTGTACACTCAGATAACAATATTTTATCAGTAAATTGCAGTCTCCTTCTGAACTCCAATCTTCTTTGTTCCATAATAATCCTTGCAGTTAATATAGTGCCTTGTCACATCTTAGAAATGTCTCCAAAGTGCTTCACAGAATACATTGTAAAGTGAATTGACTGTATATTTTGTGGTCTGCACATGACTAACACTGGAGACAAATTAGATTACAGTACATAGCGTTGAAGCTGTTACTGAAAACGAGCCTATAAAACAGATGCTTTTCTCTGTAACTGAAAATTTATCTTGGAAAAAGTTCTGAGACAGAATGTGCAAACAGTTTAAAAAGAGCAGAACACACTCATATTATCTTTAAAAGCACACAGTCAGGAAACCTCTGTCTTCTCTATCTCTTGTTAGGCAGTGACACAGATATGACAGTAACAGAGTAATGTCCATCTCTGCACCATATCAAATGATCAATATGCAGCTGCAATTCCCTCAACTCTCCTGTTAACCTTGCAAGCCAAAACCTTAGGGTTGTCCTAGCTGGATAAGCACCGGAAAGCATGTCACACAGTGCTCTCAATGGCAAGGTATGCAGTTTTAGTTGGTTAAACTCCAATGTGTACTCTAGGACTCTTGCCAACCTGTGCCTAATACTCTCCGGATTTAGGTGATCAGAATGCATTTCCTCCGGGGGAAACAAGAGGTTTCAGTCATGAGGATTTTCACGTGTAGGTGGCATAGATGGAACTCTGTCTGGTCTCGATTCTCTTTTAAGCATGGGGTTTCAGCATGTGACAGACACCCAGCTGACCAAAAAATTAACACTCCCATCGTGAACAGTGACTATCTTAATGGTGCAATAGGAGTGCTACTTTACATTTAGTTAATTTACTTAAAAACATCCGTTGCACTTGCTGGCTGTGGAGATGAGGTGATGGTGCCTGTCTGCGGTTATGTCCTAACCAACAAAAGTAATCAGTATGCTGCTAACTCATTCTACATTCCCATTCTTTTCCCACCAGCTCAAAGTTCAACCTTTGTCAGGAGGGATGGGGGGGAGGAAGAAGGCAGAGACATCACAACCACAGAGCAGTTTTGCTATTGATCGTCTCGGATACATTTATCATGTGTTAGTTGTCACTGGTGGCACAAAATATACAGTCTACAAAATATACAGTTGATTCACTTTGCATTGTATTCTGAGATATAATAATAATTTGGTTACTCAATTTGGTTATGACTGTTTGTGGGACACTGCTGTGCGCAATTGGCTGCCGCGATTTGCCCACAAATATACAGTCAATTCACTTTACGGTATATTCTGTGAACGCTTTGAAATGTCTAGAAGACATGAAAAGCGTTATGTCAAATGCAAGGATTATAATTTTATTATTATTAAGTGCTTTGAGACCCTTCAACGACGTGATAAGGTGCTATATCAAATGCAAGGATTATTAGTATTATTTTCACTCCAGTATTTAATTCAGATTCTATTGCCAGTGTAACAGTGAGGCACGCTTTTACACATTCTCTTTTCAGAGGAGGCCATGGGTCACGCCTACAGCTCCCTCCCTTCTCCGCCGTGCAGCATCAAACACCGCCAGTGTTAAGTGCTCCGAAGCTGTACCCCATGTGAAATGCTCCATTGTAAACGCAAATTGTTGTTGTGGGCATTTTACTCAGGATTATAATAATCCTTATAATAATAATCCTTGCATTTGATATAGCGTCTTATCACATCGTTGCAACGTCTCTCAAACTGCTTCACAGAATATATTGTAAAGTGGATTGACTGTCTATTATGTGGACGAAACATGGCAGCCAATTGCGGACAGCAGTGTCCCACAAACAGTCGGGGATTGAGTGACGAAATTTTAAAAGACTATGTTTTTGATAATTTAAGGTATGACTTCACTCTTAACCACAGCTAGTTTGGGATAAATGTGGTTGGACTTTTGTTTTTCATTTCACTGAACAACATAAAAGCAGTAAACAATTCAATCAACCCCCCCCCCCCCCCCCGCCTGCTTGACAAACATGAACAGAGTAATGATTTTGTGTGTTTTTATGGTCATTCTTTTTAAGACAACAACTATGCACTAATGCCATTTTCCAGCGGATTTTCCATCCCCAACCTGTGTCCTCAGGGTTGTCACAGAGCAGACTCCCTTTCCCAACAGATATAATTAACTAATATCCACTAGAGATTTTATCATTTTAATCTAATCTGTTAATTGCTAGGAGGGAGGTAAT